TTTCTGAAACCGAAAACTCAGAGTTTCCCTCATTTCGGGGTTAACAAACTCTGAGTTTCGACAAAACCGCCTTCTTGAAATAGGCCCCAGGTCTGTGAAACCTGGGGAAAATGTTTATGATGCTGTCTACATATACCTTAATGCTTTTTCAAACAGGGAGTGCGCTGAGCACTATCTGCTGCAGTGAATACACTGGATAGGCATAAATACCTCTTACACACCCCCTTAAACTACTGAACTATCACTAGGCTGCTCTACTGAATGCACAGTTTATGCAATATTCAAAAGTTGTATTGTTTAAAATGTTTTACGGGATGATCTGCACTGGAATTACTATCTCCCTTAATGTTTAAAATGTATGTTTTTATTCTTTTTTTTAATTAAATTCTATTATTGCACTTTAAAATAATAGTAATAATCCATTTTGATGGTTGTCTTCCGTTTTCTTCCACGTCTCTCTGGTTTTGCTCTCCATTTTAAGGCATTGGAGATCATTTTAGCTGAACAGCCTATAATTTTTTGTACCTCTTTATAGGTTTTCCCCTCTCCAATCAACGTTTTAATCAAAGTACGCTGTTCTTCTGAACAATGTCTTGAACGACCCATTTTCCTCAGGCTTTCAAATGCATGTTCAACAAGTGCTGGCTTCATCCTTAAATAGGGGCCACCTGATTCACACCTGTTATTTCACAAAATTGATGACCTCACTGATTGAATGCCACACTGCTATTTTTTTGAACACACCCCTTTCAACTAATTGCCCAATTGCACAGCCTTAAGAGCGTGCATATCATGAATGCTGGGTCTTGTTTGCTTTCTGAGAATCTACTGCACCTACTGGTAACTTGTTTGCCATGTAGCAATAAAAAATATACTAAAAACCTGGATTATTCTGGTTAGTCACATTGTACTGCTATTATTTTGAACAATACTGTATGCTCTAGTACTTCTATGCAGATGCAACTGTTTATACATGTCTCACAAACTCGCTCCTCCACAGAAGCTCTTCAAAACATGACAGTATTATTAAGTTGGAAGGTGCAGCCTCGCAACAGCCAACAGCATGAGCCAGAATCAAACTCTGATAAGGATAATAGGATAATCACCTCTATTGGCCAAGTATATTACAAGGAATTGGTTTCCGGTGCAGAACTGAAGCAGCCAACTCAACCGATGGCTCTACCCATCAGGCGCAACAAGGGGGGGGGGGGGGGGTGGGCTTTGCGCACGAGAACCATAGACTGCAAGCACTGAGTATCGAACATCCGGCTCTCTGGGTGGGAGACCACTGCTCTACCCATCGAACCACAGTCACCCTTCTGCTCATAAAAGTATCAACACACCTGTGAGATTGAGATAAGTTTCGGTCCATTAGGAGTGACTTCCTGCAATGAGGCACTGGATAAATATAGGGCCAAATCAAAGAGGCCATGGAGACAGCTCTCTGCACAGCATCATGTTTGTGTTACATGATCTTTAAAGCTGCATTATCGAATCTTTAGCAAAGATTTGGATAAATGTTGGGGAAATGCTGTTATGACTTGTTCGAATGCTCAAGAAGATGTTATACATTTGTATGTGCAGGTGTTTTGGTTTAGAGCAGATGATGTATTCGTGCTTGAGCTGATCCACATAGTTCTCAAATACCAAACCATGAGTATGCAGAAAAGTTTGTGACAGCACCCGGCTCTGTCTGGTAGATAGGGACTGATAACAGGGATTGAATTCTTGAACTGCCACAGTACCAACTTGACTGTATAAATAGGCTCAGTTGAGACTTCCTCTCTGAGCATTGTTTTCATGCAACTGAACTGTATGGATTGAATGCAGCCTTGCTGCAAGTATTAAAATCCTTATATAAAGAAAATTGGCCTCGGTCTACTCAGTTCGTTTGTTTATGATAAAATAACCCTAACAATAAATCAAGTAAAATATTGTCTGCAAATGTTGTCTCCCTACTGTACTAACCCCACCCCACTCTGCTATCTTGTGTTTCTTCCTACCCCTTTCAGGGCATTGTCATTAAAATCTGCACTGCACTTCTTCCACACCGCCTCTGAACCCAAGTTGTAAGAAGCATTGATCAGAGCGACAGCCGGGGGAAGAAACTGTCTGGGGGAGTAAGGTGGGACGGCTCTTCCTGAAGTCCACAGTCATCTCCACTGTTCTGAGCATGTTCAGCTCCAGGTTGTTGTGGCTACACCACAGGACCAGCTGCTCAACCTCCCATCTGTAGGCTGACTTGTCGCCATCTCGGATGAGACCAATGACCGTTGTGTCATCTGCAAACTTTAGGAGCTTAACAGAGGGGTCCTTCGAGATGCAGTTGTTGGTGTAGAGTGAAAACAGCAGAGGGGAGAGCACACATCCCTGGGGGGCACCTGTGCTTATTGTCCAAGTGCTGGATGTGGTTTTCCCCAGCCTCACCTGCTGCTTCCTGTCTGTCAGAAAGCTAGTAATCCACTGACAGGTGGGGGCAGGCACAATGATCTGGGTCAGTTTGGAGTGGAGAATGTCTGGGATGATGGTGTTGAATGCTGAGCTGAAGTCCACAAAGAGGGCCCATGCATAGGTCCCTGGGGAGTGGACGTGTTGCAGGATGTAGTGCAGTGCCATGTTGACTGCATCCAAAGGACTAAAATTTGATACAGATGTGGCTTTCTTCTTGTTAGATGGCAGTTTGTTCAATTATTTCTCTTGTTTCACATATAACTCAGTTACCTTACAACGTTGTGTGCGTCATGTATGTAAAAGTGAACGCGATGCAATAGTGGCAGGGACATTAGTGCTGTACCAATAATACTGGGAAAAATCATTCCTCTGTATAATTTGCTTGTGTTACAGGAGATATAGTCAGGGAACAAATTATTTGAACCCCAGCTGATTTTGTAAGTTTGCCCACTAACAAAGAAATGATCAGTCTACAATGTCAGTGGTAGGTTTATGTGAACAGTGAGACAACAATAACAAAAAAAATCCAGAAAAATGCATTACAAAAAAGTTATACATTAATTTGCATTTTCATGAATGAAATAAGTATTTGATCCCTTTGCAAAACATGCTTTAGTACTTGGTGGCAAAACCTTTGTTGGCAATCACAGAGGTCAGACGTTTCTTGTAGTTGGCCACAAGGTTTGCACACATCTCGGGGGATTTTGACCCACTCCTCTTTGCAGATCCTCTCCAAGTCATTAATGTTTCTGGGCTGATGTTTGGCAACTCGAACCTTCAGCTCCCTCCACAGATTTTCTATGGGATTAAGGTCTGGAGACTGACTAGGCCTCTCCATGACCTTAATATGCTTCTTCTTGAGCCAATCCTTTGTTGCCTTGG